ATTTTTTAAAAAGGGGGGGAAAGTTGCAATGACTTCAAACCCAACAATATATTCATGAAGGAAAAAAAGTTACCTTCTATCCAAAAACAAGATATTCTTCCCAATAATTTTAACTCTTACCTTCTCCAGCTTCTTTCAAAAGTTTATGTAGTTCATCTACTGCCCGGGTCAATTCATTGCTCTTTGCTTCTGAATCATCAGCAGCACTCTAAAAATTAAATCCAAAGTGTCATATAATAAACAGCCACTAATGTAATATTAGCTTGTAAAATTCTTGATAAGAGTACTTACCTTGTAAAGGTTAGAAAGTTTTATGTGAGCATTCAATTCATTGTGGAATTTCTCTTCCATGCTGGCCTGTTGTTCTTTGGCCTAAAAAAAGAACCTAATTACAATAACCTACTTTGACCACAAACTTGTAATGTTTATCAAATGCCAAGATTGAAAAAAATTTTACTTTTTTAAAATGGACAGGCAAAAGATTAAAATAGTAAAATAAAAACCAACTTCCAAAGCAAAGATAAATTATAAGCATCTTTATAAAGTGGAACAGTTCAATGATACTGAAATTAATCCAACAAAGTTTTTTAAACAGTATTCTGGATATAGCATATAATTATTATTTCTAATCCTATTTTTAGCCTAGTTACATTTACCCTGGCATGGTAAAAAGCTATTTTAAAATATAAAATAATTTTATAAACAGTTTCATATTACTATTTTCGTGCAAGAAAAAGATCTTAAAGTGATTATCTGTATACCTCTTTCAGTTTAGTCAACAGATCCTCCACATGCTTTTGAAGATGCTCATTTGACGTTTTCAAACCATTCATTTGTTCTTCCATTCTAGCAACCTAAAAACCATAAGACAGAGTTGGTAGAGAAGCGTATAATAATAAATTAACTTGAAATGAACTTTATGGTTCAAAGCAAAAGTAAAACAATCTTGAGCATTTTACATAAAATGTATAGCCAAGAGAAATAAAACTCATGAAGCAATGTGTTTGTTTGGACATGGACCACAAAGCCTTACCACTATTTGTTAAATGTGTTTTAGAAAACCAATGACAGTAAATAATACCAAGATTCACAAAAGACTATCTTAATTTAAACATAGTAATACTTTTCTGGACCAAACATTAGTGTGTGAGCTATGTTTCAACATCAGAAAGCCTGATCTTACTTGATAGTTGAAAAGTTTAGCTACATCCTAAAAAGATAGTGTTTCACTAATTTACCTCTTCTTTTTTATTTTCAAGATTGCATTTAAGTTCTAGAATCTCATTTCCTTTTTCTCTTCCAAGAGCCAGAAGTTCATCAGTTTTGGTTTTTAACTCTGTATTCAGCCATGTATTCTGATTATGTAGTAATTCTTTTTCTTGCTCCAAACGTTTTTCACGATACTAATGAAATCCAAAACATGCTTAGTTATTACATATGATTATTCAAAAAACTAAGATAAGGAAAATAAGCAGAATTTTATTTTAAAATAAGGAAGAGTATTTGCCAACTTTCTTAAAGGAAATATAATCAGGTAAAAAGTATGATAAAATTAAATTACAAGTAAGCAAAACAAATAAAATTAAGTCTAAGGTATCATTCTGACACTAAAAATTAACACACCTTTGCCAACCTGCCTATATTTAAATTTTGAACAAAACTCCCCAGCAATTCACATATTAAGTTGTTACTTGCCTTCACAGAAACATCAGAAGCTTGAAGTTCATCTAATTTTAACTGAAGTTCACCCTTTGTTGAAGTACTGTCTTTAAGCTTTTCATTCAGACATTTAACATCCTCTAAAATTTGAAAATAGTGAGTTATCAGGGCTTTGTGTACGTATATACTTAGAAATACACTAAATGAAAAAGCAGTTTTAAACTTCCCCTTTTTAACTTGTTTCTGTTACACTGAATTACCATGTTAATTTTAATAGGTTCCAAAGAAAATAAAATTCTAGTGTCTAAACATACAATCTAAAGAGTTACTTTAAAAACCATTTCTAAACCTGAGTCAATGTTAACTTTCATTTTCCTAACATATATGCTTATGGTTAATGGCCTTCATAAATACCCATTTATTACGTTAAAAAGTAGTGACATATAAAAGCCTTTTCCTCAAAGGCAGAATGTAAGTGTTTATATTTCTTTATGTTGCTTAAACATCTAGGTTTCCATGGAGGGAAAATTGTCTTTAATTTTACTTACTCGATTAAGCTAATCAGCAACAACAAATACTTTAAAGTAATTATTTTTTTTTTTGAAACAGAAATAGTGGTTACTTAATTAAATAATACTGTAAAACTAAAAGACTGTAAGTCACACAGAAAGAGACTGCCCATCTTTTTATAGTGGAGCTGCTGATGGATTCAAACCACAAGAGACACACCATCTTTGTAGTTAGAGCATGTATAGCAACATAGATACCTGAAAAATTTTCTTTATAGAAACAGTAGTTTTCAAAAATCTTTAAAAAAGAAACTAAACATGGTACCATTCATTAGATAAACCACTTATCAAAAATCTTTAAAAAAGAAACTAAACATGGTACCGTTCATTAGATAAACCACTTAAAAGTATTATTCACCTGAATGCATCAGTTGTTATTACGTATTCTTTATTCCCACTTCCCAAAGCTTTTAGCCTGTTTTCAAACATGGTCTGTCTCTAGGTTTTACAGTGAATGTTTATGAACAAAACTGTTTGTATAAAGAAAGAATAGCAGTAGCTCAGCTTTATTATTGCCCCTCACTAAAAAGTAGCTCAGCTTCTATAAGTTAACATTTAAATTGTTTCCATTTGATACACTATAAATTAGAAAATAAATACATGTAAAGCTTTGTCTAAAAACTACTTGAGGTAAGTATTTCATCTGTCCAAAAGATAGGAAACAAGTACATATATTACTTTTCATTCTAAACTGAGCTATGACAAAGAAACATCGGCAACAAAATGTTTGGTGAGTAACTGTTAAAATGAGAAAGGCTGGAGATCAAAGTACTTCTCAATAACATCTATTCTTCATACCTGTTAAATACTCAAGTTCTTGAGACAGCCTTTCATTAGTTCTAATTAAGTCTCTTTTCTCAGCTTCTAATTCTTCTTTTGTTCTTGTAAACTGGCTCTGTCATATGAGAAATTACATATTAAAAAAACATCGTGAGTCTATTAATAATACAGAAACATGAACATGATATTGTCAGTTTAGCTGACTTCAGTTTATATTTAAGAATTGGATTTTTTCTCTTAGCCATTAAAAATTAAAAGGTTAAAAACTAAAAATAATTACAGTATTTCTGTTCATATTCTGGCTACTTTTACCTTTGGGTTTTTTGGAGAAACATTCTTCTAAGTTGTACAGCACTCCTTTCAACTTGTTTCACTGAGGTATCTGGGTTTGCTGTGATGCTGAACCTTGTGCCATGGGGGGGGGGGGGGGGGTGGTGTCAATGCCATAATGGAGAGTGTTTGGTGAAGCTTCCAGTTTAAGACAGGTTTGGAAGCAGGCCTGACATCCACTTCCTAAACCACATGCCTCCGGAAACTCTATTAACTTGCAGAAATTATGATAATTATAGAAGGGCTTCAGGTCTTTTGTTCATAGGGTTGCTATGAGGCATGCTTGACTCAATGGCAATAAACAACAACAACAATTATTTTTACTAAGATTGTGGAAATCATCTCATTTCTCTTTCTACATGTGTAAATGTCCTAATTATGTAAAAACATATAGAACATTTAAGTTGTTTTTCATTTATTACTAACACTGCACCAATATTGTTGGATTTACCATTTGGTTCTATAAATCTACTTAAAGCTCAAGAAAGAGTCCAAGAAATGCAATTATATAAGACTCTTATCAAATTATTTTGCAGCAAGACAGTATGAATTTATATGGATTTCAGTCACAAATTCCAATCTCAATTCAAGCACGAAAGAAAAAACTTAATGGAAGTCAAGAGTGAAAGGAGGAAGGCAAAAAAAGGAAAAGAAATTGGCAATGTGGGAGGTAAAAATTAGCTTGTTTTTCTGTATGTATCTGATGTGAAGTCCTGTAAAACAACTTTTAAAGTTAGCCAATTATTTCACTTTCTACTTGTATAGCTACCCACTTGTATAACTTTCTCTGAATTTTTTTCAATTTCTTTTTCTCATTTCTATTTCAGTGATTTTCTTAAAAATTAAAAGTAGCCAAATATTATGTATCTAATAATAAACACCAACCATTTTCCCAGAAATATAATCAAACCAAAGCAAAACTTTTAAATAATTTTTTAATAGAGAATTTAAAATTTTTAATGAAATATCACTATCACTAGTTTTAAAGGTTTGTACAAAGTCCTTCTCAGTCAGTATATAAATTACAATACTTCATATTTTAACCAAATTGGAAATTAGTTTGATTACAGCGTACAAACAATACCTATTTTGATATTTGACTTTTGCTCCACCACATCAGATTCTCAAATATAACTTACAAAATAAATCCAAACACTTCAAATTGCTTGTAAGTTACTGTCATTCTTTTAAATAAAGAATTTTAGAATATATAAATTCCATACTAAGAATCTCTTGAAATGATATTGCTAATTTTTATAGGCGCACATGCATGTTATTTTACTGAAAAACAATTTTTAAGTAACAAATCTGCAACTCTCGACTCCTTGCTGTGTACCATGGAGTTGGAACTGACCCACAGCTGATCCTCCAGTGATTTTTCAGCAGTAAATTGCATGGGAGCAGACTGCCCATCCTTCTCTTGTGAAGCAGCTGGTGGCCTTGAACCTCATGGCTTTGGGGTTGCGGCACAATTTCTTGTGACTAGGCCACTAGAGCTCCTTGACTCCTAGAAAATATTATTATCCTACATGGTTTTACTACTTGTACAGTATCTGATTCTAATCTACAGCCATATGACTGATCCTTGCTCCATTATCAATCTCAACTATTCCCTAAGAGAGCTCTCATGGATTAAAGGTAAGGAGTTGTACTGTCAACTCAAAGGCACTGTGTTCAAAGCCATCAGCTGCTTAGCAGGAGAACGATGGCAGTCTACTCATGCACAATTTGTTGTTTCTGAAAATCCACTGGAGGTTCTCCCAAAGGTTGGTTCTGACTAAATGGTACATTGCAAGAAAAACAGCTATTCCTTATATTTATTCTTAAACCAATTTATATACTACAATGCTTAATAACCATGAGATTCTAAAGTATTTTCATATGCAGCCAGGCAAGTATTCCTAAGTGGACACTCTTCTAAAATTATACTATAAATTAAAGCATTAGCACCAATTAACTTCTGACTCAAAGTGACCCTCCTATTAATCTTAAGAAGAGACCACACATCTTTTTTTTCCCCACAAAAGAGCTGATGGACTCAAATTGTTGATCTATGGTAGTATAGTTCATTGCGTGCTATGCTGCTAATCAAAAGGCTTTGCATCCTTGGTAGCTGAAATTCACAAACTTTGAGGAAAAGTGACAGACAGTCTCCTCTCATTAAGATTTATAGTCTCAGAAATCCAACAGCAGGCCATTAGAAATTGGAATGGAAAAAAAAAAAGAAATTGGAATGGACTTTATGGCAATATATTTGAGTGATCCAATCAATTATCAAATGTTTGTTTCTCTTAATTACCTTTAGAACTACCTTATCAAACTTAAACTATCTGATTTGGTTGGATAAAAAAATACATTAAGAATACTTGGAAAAATCTTTCTATCAAGAAATAAGCAGTATAATTCTGATTTATTTACACATCTAACTATAGCTTTCCCTTCTTAAATTTCTATATGTATGTAATACTGACTTCTTGTAATAATTATTTTTAGCTATAGTGGAGGTTTGTATATCTCTTCAGGTTTTGGGAGACTCTTCTCTCTTCAAGACCTTATAAAATTATTTTTAATTCAATACCAAATATCTTTTATTTTTAAATCAAATGCAAATTTTAACAAAGCGTGTTTCTAAAGTTACGGATCACTGGACATAAAGACTTCATTCAAGAAATTAGTTAGTAGAGTAACCACTTGTTTAACCATAAGTAATACAGCAAAGACTACAATAGTATACTTAGCAATACTTAATACTGTTAAGTATTAACAAAGGAGTATACTTAGTAATATTAATAGTAGTGCACTGTTAAATATTAACATAATAGTAGATCCATTGTGCCATCAAGTCGCCTGTGACTCCCTAATCCTGTACCAATCTTACTGTCTCTGACACACCCACCTCCACTATCCCAGTGACTGAATCAATCCATCTCATCAATGGTCTTCCTCTCCTGCATTGTTCCTCCACCTTCCCAAACATGACATCCCTCTCCAAGGACTGTTTCCTTCTTGCAACATGTCGTATGTCAGACAAAGCTTGAGAATCCTTGCCTCCAAGGAGCAGCTTGGTTTCACCTTCTCCAAGACGAACGTTTGTTCTCTTAGCAGTCCGTCGTATATTCAATACTCTTCTCCAACACCACAGCGCATGAAGCATCAATTCTCCATTTATCACCCCCAGTCATTGTCCAGCTCTCTGATGCATAGCAAGTGACTGCAAAGCCTGTATCAGACATACCTTAGTCGCCAAACTGACATCACTGCCCTTTATTACTTTGGTAAGGTCTCTGACAGCAGACTTTCCCAATGCCGTATGTCTTTTTAATGTCCTAACTGCTGATACCAAAAATGCAGATTGTGGAATCAAGCAAACTAAAGCTGTTACTCTCAATCTCTTCACCATCTACTGTGATGCTGCCAATCGGCCCAGTGGTGAGACTCTTTTTCTTGATACTGAGCTTCAATTCATATTGAAGGTTGCAGTCCTTGACCATCTGCAACAAGCGTTTTCATGTCCACCTCAGTTTCAGCAAGGAGGGTAGCGTCATCTGTATAACGCACATTGGTGATGAGTCTTTCTCTAATTCTGATGCCACATTTCTCCTAATATAGCCCTGCCTCCCATATAATCTGTTCTGCATAGATTGAAAAGGTAAGGTGATAGGACACATCCCTGGTGTATATCCTTCCCAATTTTGAACCATGCAGTGTTTCTTTGCTCTTTTCGAAAGACTGTCTCCTGGTCCAAGTATAGGTTTCACATAAGCATGATCAAGTGTTTGGGATTCCCACTCTTTTCAGAGTCAGCCAGAGTTTGTTGTGGACCAGTCAAATGCCTTTGCATAATCAATGAAACACAGATATATATTCCTCTGGTACTCCGTGCTTTCAGCCAAGATCCATCTAGCATTAGCTACAATATCCCTAGTAACCACAGCCTCTTCTAAACCCAGTCTAGATTTCAGGAAGTGCTCTGTTGATGTGCTATTCCAGTTATTTTGGATAATCTTCAGCTGAATCTTGCTTGCTTGTGATAGTAAAAGAATATACTTAATAACAGTAACTCTTAATACTAATGCTGTTAAGTGTTAATATAATGCTTATTACTACTTAATATAGTCTAATAATATAGTCCTTGCTATACTTAATTCATGGTTAAAGAAATAGTTACTCATGTGGAAGTATATAAACTCCGAACTGTCAAAAGACTTGAGACAATGCCTGTCACAGTAAATCTTCAATAGACAATTACTGAAAGAAGAATGTAAGGCAAGTATGGAAAGAGAGAAATCCCTAAAAGTCTTTGTAAAGCTTGATAATATTCTTAGAATTAAAGAAAAAAAAATTAAAAATCACAGCTATAGACATAATGGTACATAGTGTTTGTATCCACTATTGTAAAGTGAAAGGAATGTCCAGTAAATATATAAAGATTCAATTAAATGTTAAGCTCACGTGTTTGTAGTAGCTGTCTTTCACAACCAGGATTATGTATTTCACCTTACCATTGACTAAACATACGCAGAATAGAAACTTTACTAGATATGTTTATAATTAACTTAATCCACAAGACTAAGGCCTTTACCTGAGCAGCATGACTGCGATCATGAGCAATTTCAAGTTCTTTGTTTTTCTCACTTAGTGCCTTCAGCTGATTATCTGTATTAAACAAATTTCATTATCGTACATGTATTGGCTCCTAAATTACAACATGCATTTTCAAGCAAATGAAATATGAATATATTTTAAAAATAAAGGAATTGATACCCAGGGAGGCTAAATTGTATTTCAAAAGTATAAACACAATCTAAATTTGCTGTAGATATTTTTACCATTTAACGTGTAAGCAAACAGTTTAACATAAAAGAAAACAAAGTATTACACCTGCTAGAAATTTTTACATTTATTACTCTTGTCTCAAAAAGGAAATTTGTAATTTTTTAAAAAATATTTATAAAAAAGTACATATAAAATTATCTAATCCTTTAATTCTCAATGACATCATCTACATCAAATTACAAAAAAAACAGTAAACATACACACCAAATCAAACTCACTGCCATTAAAGGTATTCTAACCCATAGTCATAAGAGAATAGAACTGCTGCCCCATATGGTTTCCAAACTGTAACTATACATTACACTGATTATATCCTGTTCATATCAAATACTGAATAGGCTAGAGATGATGTGAAAACAGTGGTTCCCTACATCACAAATAGAGGTTGGTTAATAAATCCTGTAAAAATCCAGGGCCTTGTCCAAATATTAAGAGTCTTGGGAATAACCTGGATAGGAACTGCCTGCGACATCCTGTAGGCAACCAAGAATGAGGTGGTGTCACCACCTACTCTCATGACTGAGCAAGAGAGCCAACATTTGGTTGCTCTATTTGGATTTTTGGAGGGCTCATATTACACTTCTGATACCAATCAGAAAAGGAAGACCATTGTGGGGAAATGAACTACTCTCATGAACAACATTCACAATATAAAATGAATAGCTGCTACAAGGTTAGATACGACCCCCTACAATGCTCCATCCACTTCTACTAATTACTAGGTCCAATAGTCATTGCAAATAACCACATACACTTTGCCTCTGTTGTATAGTTTATTAGAAAAACGGGAGGTGGGGGTGAGAAGACAAAGGATACCATACAGTGAAAGACCAGGTTTAGTCCAGCAACAAATGCAGTAAATTTCTGTATTAACAGTTTCCTTTTGCAAGGAAAACCTCTGACTCTTTCTAGTTATACCAGACTACGCTTTTGCCAATCTCTCTCTTGTCAGCTCTCTCTTATGTTGGCCTTGCAGTCACTGATGATTTTTAAGATGCTGATCAGCAGTGAACCATGTGTCTACTGTTGAAGATCTTACCACCATGATCAAAGATTCATTTTACTTACACGTTCTCACCTGGCCATATAGTCAGGTCTAAGGTAATGGATGAAAAGTTAAAAATTCTACCACCACACTTTCCCTCTCCTAGACAGCTATAATAATAATAATCATAAATAAGAGCCATTTTCCTACAATTCTTTAGCACCACTAATAGATAAAAATAGAAAATGATGAAAGAACACTAACTATGCAATATTTATGTGTATACGTACACACACTACCATAAATACATACCATATTTTAAAAATAAAGTAATTCCAACAGTAGTAAAAATAGCTAAGAAGAGTTAGTCCAAATAGGCAGTGACATGGATCTGTTAAGAGGGAAAGTTGCTTCCAAAAGTTACTTGATTATTAGCTACCTGCTTTCCTTTCCCTACCAATCCAAATAAAATCTAGCTTTATCTAAAAAGGTAGTAATATTTACTTTTCTTAACCATATACAAAACATGAAGGACATCATCCTTCCAAGAAATGTCAACGCCTTTAACTAAAATCCTATGAACCATCTAGAATAACAAAAAAAGGAAAAAAGCTACTTCCACTATTAGATTTCAGCCTTAAAAAAAGGTTTTGAGATTCAGAGCTATTTACATAAATTTATAACAAAGACAATGCAAAAAGTTTTATTAAACAGCAGGCTTTAGTCAGTGACATAAAAATAACTAATTTTCAGTTTCATTACACATTAGCCTTTTCAAACATGTAACAATTTATATATTTGGCTATATGAGCAGATGGTCATATGAATCTAGTGCTTTACTTTACAACAACACTTAGATGCTGGTTTAATTTACATTATGCCAAAATCACTTTTAAAAGCAAAGAAAAATTGGATCCCAGAGAAAACTACTGAGTATAAGCTTTGTGTTCTGAAAAAGTCTTTGCCCTATGTGGGAGATTAAACTATCACAATAAGAAAATGATATAAAATTTGTACTTATAAATAAAGGAAATGCTTCCAAAGCATAAACAAATCTTTAAGTGTTTAAAGATGTCATTATTTTAAAGATACTTGTAAATGTTATTCAATACTTACTGAGCTTTTCTAGTTCTAGTCTCAAGTTCTGGCACTCTCGGGTTTCATTCACAAGTCTCTCTTGACTATGAGATAGTCTCTTCTCTATCTCAAAGTACTGTTGTTCTACAGAAGAATAAAAAAAGATCAAACAAAAAAAAGATTACACACATTATCAATGTTACTACTTTTTTTTTTTTCAATGTTACTACTTATTTTCAGTAACTTCGACTTCAAAATTAACAAACCATGAAAGACAAAAGAGTACTGGAATGGTACTACAAATGGAAAACCATGAAAATAGATAACTGATCGAGCAATAAAAAAACTTTTAATATTTCCAATTGACTTGTATGACCAAAGAAAATATGGTCTAAAGTGGTTTTACAAATTGTTTGTCTACCCAAGTTATGAGCACCCTGAAAGTGAACATGTCTTATTCAATCTAAGCATTTTTTTACCCAAACCTCGATAGACTATTTGGCCTAAGAAAAAATTTTTAGTTAAAATTGCTGCTTTGCTTTAAAAGATCTGTTTTGCAATAGATAAAACACTTGCGACTGTATCTTCAGTATGAGTCAACCAAATATTATTACGCTACTAAGTTTATGTGAAAATAAAGATGCACATTCCCCAGAGAAGGGACTCAATCTGGTGTAGCAAATTATCTTGCAATGAACAGCCACAGCCACTCGATGTTGGTTGTGTATTAAATTAATGGTAAAATACTGAAATGTAAGGCCATGCCTGGAGGCAGGGCAAGTGCCTCTCTATACTCTGTGTCAACTGGATGGATGCACGTGGTCTCTGGAGCCTGGAAGAGAGACAGGCAAGTCGGGAACCCTGGGGCTTTTGGTGTAACCCAAGTGGGTGGCCACAGAGCCAACTTGCTAGATGAGTTAGGGGGCTCTGGCCCAGAGTTTGCCAGCGTTTGGGCATGCCAGATGCAGTGGTAATATACCATAGGGCCCTTGGGCTGTTCTAAATTGTTTTTGGTCAAATATTCTTCTAGGTCAAGTAGCCCTGGTGTGTCCACTGCCATACAGAGGTAACTTGTGGTTGCTGTGAAGCTGAACACTGTGACACTAATGTGTCAAATGCAAAAGTGGTTATCCATGGTGGAAGTGTTTGGTGGGGTTCCCTGATTAAAACAACTGGAAGCAGGAGTGGCATCCACTTCTGTAAACAGCTTGCCTCTGGAAATCCTATGAACCTGGAGAAAGGATGAAAGTCACGACTTTCGTCCACAGGGTCACTATGAGTTGCCTACGACTCCATGGCACTTAACGACGACAACATTAAATTAACAATGCTCTTAAAAAAAAAATAATGCTCTAATTTTCCACATCAATTTTGCCTGACAAATTACACTTTTTTGAAGTAAAAGGGTATGTGTCTCTTGGAAAATAATAATTAAAATAAAAACCAAGCAACCAACCAAACAAAAAAATACAAGACTTTTTCCACTTAAGGGAAATTTACCAAATAAATGGTAAGGCAAGACATGAAACAGAAAACTTACATTCAATTAATCTACTAGGGATGTCCAAATCACTTGTTTTTATGTGCGGTCGAGTCAACTGCGACCCTATGTACAGCACTCTGAAGCCCTCCCTGTCCTGAGCCAGTCTCACTAATTCTGACTCATCAAACCCCCACCTCCATTGTCCCAGTCACTGAGTAAATCCATCTCCTCCGGAGTCTTCCTCTCCTGCCCTGTCCCTCCATCCTTCCGAGCATGATGTCCTCCTCCAAGGACCGGTCCAAATCACTACTGTTCTTAAATGTTCCTTCCTGAAGATCTACTGTATTTACAAACAGGTAATATTTTCTATTAAACGTCAACGTTTATTGGGGAAACTTCATTGACCGTTATCTACTACACATTCACCATATTACGCACCTCCACTCCTGTCAATACACATCTTTCTTTTCGAGACCACAACATCCCCTTCCCCAGACAAGTACATTAAGTGGTCCATTATATACAAAACAATAACATTACTTAACATGGGGGGGGGGGGGAAACAAGAGCTTAACATGAAACCACGAACCAAACAGGTTAAGAGTCTAAGCTTGTAAGATTGACTAAGGTCGCAAACTCCAAGTCTGCTGCAAATCTACCCCGTTAGTCACATATAAAAACAGAACGTTAAATTAGCGTGTGTTTTCTAAGTCCTTAACAGACTGTGAAAGAGCAGGAAAAGAAAGAATGGGCCTAAGGTGCCCACGGAGCACAGGGAAACGGTGCTTCTCTTAAGGGTCGCAGTGAAATTGCGCGCTGCGCGGCGGGGCAAGACGATGGGGACACATCGAGAACCGAAGGCCCGAAGAACGTCTCACTCACCGCTCTCCACTTTAAATTTTTCGTGCCGCCCCTTAAGGCCATCTATTTCGGACTGCTGATCAGCAAGGAACTTTTCAAGTTTGTTCTGGACGGACTTGGGCAGCTTGTTCAGTTCCGTGCGCTCCAAGACTTGCTGCAACACGGCCGCCATGTCGGCCGGGGCAGGCGCCGCAGCGGCGGATGCGGCTGAAGTCGAGAAGAAAGACGAAGAACAGGAGAAGCCAGGAGCTTGAGGCGTCGTCTCCGGCGCCTCAGTCTGCGGACCCCGCGCACCAGCCCGCCGCACACTTCCGCGTCGGGGCCCTGGAAAACAGAGCCCCGCGTTAAACGCCGCACCAAAGGTCCCTCGGCGCTCCCTCCTGAAGCGCGCAAGCAGCTGCCGGAAGCTATGCACTCTGGGAAATCGAGTCCACAAATAGTCCCTGACCGTCCCACAGGAAAAGCTAACTTCCGGTTCCCCTTTCAATGCTCTTCAGGTACGCAGCACTCTGGGAAACGTAGTGTTTTCCGCCTTCCTCTCCCAGTGTTGACTCATTTACCGCCTATTTCCCTTCTACCTCTCACTCCGTCCCCGACTATCTTCGCCTGGTAGTAAAGTACTTGTCCGCGCGGTGGCGCCACCAGCGTACTTGTCAGCCCACGTCCCTCCCAGAAGGGCTGGTCGATCTTACCCTCAAAGCCCCGCGATGTCATGGGTCGTCCTCTTTGGCGGTTTCTAGACACTGAGCCACTAGAGGGCATCTGTCCTGGCAGGGCTATACGGCGGGAGCTGGGCTACCGCCACACTTACTGGCGCCCAGAAGGGGGCGGGGTGGTGGCAGCGGTAGCCTAGGCAGAGGCTCTGCAGTAAAGGGAGGGGGTGTTGCGTCATCATGCTGCGCCACCGAGTTCTGGAGACCCGAGTTCGGGGTGGAAGGGAGGTGTGGGGAATTGGTCGCTTTCTGATGAATTCATTGTCTGTGACACTAGAGGGGAATCTGACCCTTCTTAAAAAAAAAAAAAATAAAGTAAATCTATTGCCTTTAAGCTCCTGTTCAGGTATCCTGAGAATACTTTGGATTTGTCTTCTAGACGTGCACCGTCTGAGTAAAGGTGAGTCAGTGTAAAGATGTAAATTTCTGAGTATCTGAGTTTCTGTACGTAATTTTAGAAAGCTCCTCTTTTAAGGGAAAATGAAAAAGAGATTAAAGAAAGCATATGGTAGACAAATAGTACACATCCAAGTCCAGCTCTGACAAATTAATTTCTTTTTAAACAGCATATATACCTGCCATTTACTGATTGATTGGCAGTGGATAATTCAGTATGAATTAAGAGTTGAATTATTTTCTGAGAAATTAAAGAAAGCAAGAGTTGAAACTGCAGTTCTACCTGAGAAAAGCAGGGTCACTGAATGAAATAAATTTGTGAGTGGACAGCGCGATTGTGTTAAGTTGTAAATTAATATTGCAGAAAATGTTTAAGATATTTATGACAGTTAGTGTAGAGATACTTTTGAAAATGGGGGGGGGAAGTCTAACAGTTGTTTTCTAACACATTCTTAAGAACCTCTCCATGCCACCTTACAGGACTAATTACTTTGTTCCCAAATCATGATTCTGTAACTTTAAAACTAAATGTGTAGATTCTTCGTGCTTTATTATGCTTCTGAAAAAATTTCTTGAAATCTTTCTTGAAAATAAGGTTTTCTTTATGGCGTCTTCCTACTATTCCTATAGTGTTAGACGGCTTACTGATTGTGGACTTATTAATGTGAAAATGTTTCACTATCGACTTTTTTCCTACTATTAAATCAGTAGTTGTGAAGACATCTAAGAAAAAAGGAAAAAGCATCTACTAAACCAAACCTACTGTTGATCCCAATATAGGACATAATAGTAAAAAGTTGATTCCGACTCATAGGAACTTACAGCAAAGAGTAAAACTTCCCCGTATGGTTTCCAAGTTCGTAAATTTTTCTAGAAGCCAACTGCCACATCTTTCTCTCACAAAGCAGGTCATGGATTTAAAGCTTTTTTTGGGTTCATAGGTAAGCACTTTAACCACCCACTGCCTTATTTTGTAACTAAAGAGAAAGAAATTGGTAAGGAGCTTAGTGTTCATGTCATTTATGTTTTAGAAAAGTACTTTAAAGTTGCTGGTATGTGCAATATTGTACTATCTCCTAGACTCACAATTTTCTCACTTGCTATATCTTTCAAAAAATAAGATTTGGTGGGGCAAAAAAAAGTAGAAAGCACAGTGAAGTAGAAGAAAGTTAATACACAGATACTTAAATAGACAAATATATACTTTAACTCATTGCTAAAAGTTGAAAACCTTTAAATTTAAAGTTATTTTTGACAAAGTCATTAATGAATTAGGAAGTTTTAATGCAGACCTATTTGCTTACACAGAGGCCTAAGAAAAATTTAATTAATTTTACACACTGGAACAATCTCAGAAAACAGCATCCATTATACAGTTTGTGATGTAAACAAATTCTTGACTTTTTGTTTTTAGAGTAATGCAAACTTTTTATAACAAGCACTATACCACGATTAAATAGCAGTCTTAATGGTTCTGATAAGATTGAAATTACTCAATTAAATGGTTTATCCCTTAGGAAAGTAGGTTTAAATATTTTTTTAAATTATTGCACAAGTATTCCCTAACATCTTTCTGTTTATGTCTATTTCTTTATATTTGTGTGTGTGTGTGTGTGTGTGTGTGTGTGTGTACCATCAACTAGAATCTGACTAGTACAGGAGGAGATTGTCCCTTCTCCAGCAGAGCACCTGGTGGATTTGAACTGTGTACCTCTGGGATTGCAGTGCACTTCTTGCCACTAGGCCACAAGAGCTCCCTTTATGTCTATTTCTTTAAAAAAAACAACAACAAAAACACAAAACCCAACGATCTTTTTTTCTTTTTGTCTTCCACACTGAATATTAATGCCTTCAAGGCATTGCTTATAATTACCTAGGTCTTTTAGTCAGCATATTAACCTTAAAGCCACATAAACTCAAGTCACAGTAACGTAAACTAGTAGAATGAATGTACTGGGCTACTCGTAGAAATTATTAAGTTAAAGACCATATATGCTATATGAACATAGTATTTAAGAGCATAGATTCTGCTGTCTGACTGCATAAGTTGAAATCTTGCAGTTGTCACTTTCTAGTATTGCACTTAGGCACGTTATTTAGCTGTTTCAGCTTCTTTATATGTAAAATGGAACTACAATAATA